CCAGGATTCATGTTCTGTATATTATAAACAGGACTAATAATGTATTACTATGTCATTATTCCTGATGACTACACAAGAAGGACAATTTACCAGTCTTGCCATTTAAAGCCAAGGCAAATATAGAGCTTTTAAAATTTGTCACAATACTCTGTAAAATTTAAAGCTGCAAACTAAAACCATTAAATACTTTGTTATGTTTATTCAGCAATATAAAGCATCCTGAACTTTTAATTTTTTAAAAAAATCACCTGTGCCAGGTACTGCAGTTCATTTGACTGATATTTAGAGCTGTTGTATATAAGCAGAGAGGTCCAGCTCAATCCCTGGCATCTCCAGTTAAAGATAGGAAAGAGTTCTGCATGACTGCCAGAGAATTGCTGTTATTACTAGTAGACAATATTGGCTTAGCTTGGCCATGTGTCCAATAAATCCCAAATTAAAATAATTTATGAGCTTGAAAAATGCTTGGTGTGGGACTGCAAGTGTTCTGTCAGCTACTAACTTCAGCAGCCTCCCCTGTTCCCTTTAGAGCTGATGAGTTCTCTCTTCAATCTGGAATTTAAAATGGTTCAGTCAGTATTGGACCGCTATCAGGATATTACATAAAAACTCATGAGCCTTCGGGGTAGGGCGGGATGTAAATCCAAGGATAAATAAAAATAAATAAATAAATTTCTATATAATTTAATTATTTTTACTCAGTCAAAATCTTTATTGGCATAGATTGAAAAAGAAAGGAACATAGGAACCACAGATTTTAGATATACAAAGGCAGTCATCCCACCAGAGCTTTAACCTTATATTCTTGAACCCCCATAGCAATAGAGAGAAACCACACCATTGCACAGGTGATGTGAGGGCGGTAATCTGATAGAAGGAAGGATACTCTCTCTTCTGGATAACTGTGCCTGCTGATCAAAAGGGGGCTGATTAGGACATCCCGTATTTTATAAAATTCGCAACTAAGCAAGATGTGGGTAATCGATTCTGTTTTCCTGCTGCTACATAGACAGATCCTTTCAGGGTAGGGACATTTGCAAATCTACCATAACGGACCACAGATGGGAAAGCGTCGAAACGTGCAAGCATAAAAGCTCATCTTAATGGTGGGGCTAGAAGATGTAAAAATAGTCAGCTATAAGCCCATTCCCCTGAGTTATATTAAACTTCAGAGGGGAGGAAGTAATACCAGAACGGAGTTTGTTTTTCAGTGTCAAGGATCCTCTGCCTCAGTGGTCTAAATATTTGAGATTCACCTGACATGAGAATTATTTTTACTCTTCTCAATCCCCCTTATGCAGTATGATGATCTATTAATTCTTAAAGTGGTTTATAATGGGATTACATTTTTAAATCTAAATTAGCTATGAAAAAACCACATCTTGAAGTAATTTCAAAAGTCACTTAAGCCTAGTTTACACCTGTAGAAGTATAAAGGGGCAGAATGCTGTAGTGGTAGAACAGACTACATACCTTTAGATGTAGTAACATTTTGGAAAGCAGAAAACAATGCTACAGTCTACCAGCTGTAGTCTGAAGTGGTTCAGTCCTTTCTACCACTCAAGTTCTTGGAAGTTTATTCCCTTGTATCTGTGAATCTTGCCCTAGTTTCTTTCTCTTAAGTACACAGGTATTTTCTCCCCCATCCCCAGGGATCTCCCTTTTGTGTCTTTAGTTAGTCCTGAAGGGTGCAAGACTAGGATCTAGGAGACCCAGGTTTGAATCCCCACTCTGCTTTCTGGGTGACCTTTCGTCAGTACAGACCCTTAGTCTAACCTACCACCCACCACTATTGTGAGGATTAAATGGAGGAGGGAATGCTGTAAGCTGATTTGGATACCTATCAGGGAGAAAAGTAGAGTATGAATGAAGTAAATAATAAACATTATAGCAGTGGTTCTCAACCTTCCTAATGCCGCGACCCTTTAATACAGTTCCTCATGTTGTGGTGACCCCCAACCATAACATTATTTTCGTTGCTACTTCATAACTCTAATTTTGCTACTGTTATGAATCGTAATGTAAATATCTGATATGCAGGATGTATTTTCATTGTTACAAATTGAACATAATTAAAGCATAGTGATTAATCACAAAAACAATTTGTGTTTTCCGATGGTCTTAGGCAACCCCTGTGAAAGGGTCGTTTGACCCCCAAAGGGGTTGCGACCCACAGGTTGAGAACCACTGCATTATAGCAAACTTCTTAAACATGGGGCTAGTATAGTATTAACATGATGCACTTCTAGGTATATTGCACCTCACTAGAGAGCAAAGATGAATCTAGGATTTTTCACTTAGTGTAATGCAATCTACTATTCCGAACTAGGAAGAAATAAGAAACTGCAAGTTGGTATGTGGAGACAATAACAGCACACCACTAGTGGTCACATAGAGCTCTCAAAACAATTCAACGCATCATCTGCAACTTACAGCCTCTACTGGATAATGACAGTTATCTTTCACTAGAACTAGGGGAAAACCTTTTCTTGTGCACAGACAGCCCCCCCATTGTAAGCAACTCACCACCACAATAATACAACATCTGATTTGAATGTGGACACTGGTACCAGAGCTTGTAACAAACTCAGATGCCAACTTTGCTGCCACATAGACCCAGACAACACACAATCACTGGACCTAACAATGTTGACTACACCATCTCGGAAGCATTCGCTTGCTCATCTTCTAACATTGTATATGCCATTCAATGCCAACAATGCTCTTCAGTTCGCTAAATTAGGCAAACAGGCCAAACTATGCGAAAGGATAAATGGACACAAATCTGACATCAAGGATCACAAAATTGAGAAACCTGAAGGATAACATTTCAGCCTCCCAGGGCATTGAGTGGGGGACCTTAAAGTAGCTGTTTTATTGCAAAGGAATTTCAGAAACGTACTGGAACAGGAGATTGCTGAATTACAAATTATTACAACACTCAGGACAATAGGGATACCGGGTACTAATATCACTACACAGTTCTCGCTTATACCCAGAATTAAACTTGTTGCTCTTAAAGGTGCCACTGGACTCAAACTTAGTTCTCATATCTGTTAATATTAACTCTTTTAATCTGTATGCTTATTTGCTGCTATTCACAAGCCTTACCAACTGCTTTAATTCAGTCTTCGCTATACTTATTACTTAGTTACTTATGCATCTTGACTCTAATTAGCCATTCCTGGCAAGTAACCCTTTCACCCTCTATCTCTCCTTATATATAACTCTGTTTTGGTCATGGACTCCCCTGAACATTCCAACACGCTCTGAAATCAGTTGGCTGAATGATCTGTCATTCAGAGGGTCTCCCTATCCATTGGCTGCATTGCCTGAGTCCCGCCTCCAACATTCTAAACAGTTTGCTGTTCCTCTCCCCCCCCATAGCCAGTCAGAACACAGAGGTCATTTGCATATCTGACCTGATTGGCCTTTGCCTCTAACATTCTAAATAGTCTGCTGTTGCTGTTGGGAGTTCTGAGGTAAAATACATATCCCAATCTCCCTGTGGGGCCTGGAGATCTCCCCAGCCACAGCACATCATTTCCCCTACAGAAAATTTCCCAGCGATTACAACTGATGTCCAGATGACCAAGATCAGTTCTCCTGGAGACAATGGCTGCTTTGGCCAGTGGACTCTATGGCATTATACCCTGCTGAGGTCCCTCCCCACCCCAAACCCTGCCCTCCCCAGGCTCTACCCCTCAAATCTACAGGTATTTCCCAACCCAGAGTTGGCAACTGTGTAACTGGCTATGGAGCCACTTTCCAGACCCTTGAAACCCATAAGACATGGCATAGGAGGAGGTGCTTTTCTACCTTAGCTGCCACTGCATAGACCCAAGTTAACATAAGCCAACCTCCAGGCGGCACCTGGAGGTATCCAGCTATTACAACTGATGTCCAGATGACCAAGATCAGTTCTCCTGGAGACAATGGCTGCCGGTGGACTCTATGGCATTATACCCTGCTGAGGTCCCTCCCCACCCCAAACCCTGCCCTCCCCATCAAATCTACAGGTATATTCCAACCCAGAGTTGGCAACCCTGTAACTGGCTATGGAACTGTTTTCCAGACTCTTGGAACCCAGAAGAAATTGCATAGGAGGAGGTGATTTTCTACCTTAGCTGCAACTAGGTAAAGGTAAATGTTTCCCTTGCTCAAAAGCCAGTCGAATCCCGACTCGCTATTTCCAAGCCGAAGAGCCAGCGCTGTACAAAGACATTTCCATGGTCATGTGGCTGGCATGACTAGACGCCGAGGTGCACGGAACACTGTTACCTTCCCACTGAAGTTGTACCTATTTATCTACATGCAGTTTCTTGCTTTCGAACTGCTAGGTTGGCAGGAGCTGGGACCAGAGACGGGAGCTCACTTCATCATGTGGTAAATTAACATAAGTCAGGTGGAGGGAACCATACCTGTTACCATGAGGCTGTCTTCCCATACTACCCACTTGGGCAGCAAAATGACTCGAGACAGCCCTGCCTTATAGCTAAGCAGAAGGAAATAAAAATGGCTTGCCTCCCTCTATTTTCCCATTCCCTCTGCCACCTCACCAGCCACAGCCCACTCACCTGGAGCTTCCTTCTAGAGATCGTTTTATTTTTCCCCACAACGGGCCTCACTCCTAGTTTATATATAATGATTGAGGATGTCTTGTTTCAATGTATCTGAAGAAGTGTGCATGCACACAAAAGCTTATACCCAGAATTAAACTTATTTGGTCTTAAAAGTGCCACTACTCAAACTGTGTTCTATTGCTTCAGACCAATACAGCTACTCACCTCAATCTACAGTCGATCTAAGTACGATTACTGGTGTAAGGGTAAACCTTTTGTTATCAGATGATCCTACGAATGCAATAAGCTCAGGAGGAGTAAGTACACCTAGGGATCAACAAGTAGAAAAGTCAAGGGCAGCCACCAGGGGTCGTCAGAAAGCGCTAGAGCCCAAGCCTCCTAGGCCGCTTGCGCTTCCAGTCAGCCCCGCCCCCGTTCTCGAGCGGACCACGTTCGCAGCTGCGCGGCGATGAACTCTTGGGCCGCGCCAAGAGGGCCTTGATGGCTAAGCGTGGAGCAGAGGCAGTGGCCTTCCACGCGCCCTGGGAGACCCTCGCACCTCCTAGGCCCCCGAAGCGAGGGCGGAGCGAACCCGGGCTAAGGGAGCTGCGATGCGGGAAAACACCCTGGAGCGGAGGCGGCTGCAAGAAACGGAAACGGGCGGAAGAGGACGAGGAAACTTCGGCAAAGTGGCCCAGCGGCGCCTTGAAGCGGAGCAGACCTCAGGAAGAGCAGGTGCCTGGGGCAAGTGCCAGCGGCTGGGAGGGGACGAGGACGCGGCGGAAGGAGCCGCCTGGACCGCTGCCTGAGGCTGACGAGGAGGCTGGATCGGGAGAAACCCCAGCACATCCTTGGAACCCCAAAACATCCATGGCTGAGGAGGTATAAAAGGCAGAGATGGAATGCGGGAGGGCCATTGGGAGAGTGGAGCCTCCGGGGGGTGGGGGTGGGGGAGGACCCTTCGTTCTGCTTTTCAGAAAAGCCATTTCCCCTTTAGGGGCAGGGCCAAAAGGAACCTTTGGCTCTGAGGACCAGTTTGGGCCTTCTAGAGAGGCCCGTTTGAATGCGACGGAATATGGGTGTTAGGATAAGGGGTTTAAAAATTCGTTAAATTTGGGGGAGAAATTGAAATATGTGCAAAACCTGGCTGTCCTATCAAACTTAAAGAAAAAAACATCATTTATAACTTAACATATAAAATTGTAATATTTGAAATATTTATGGGATTCAAAAGTTATAAATGGACCAAATTGTAGATAACTGTTCCCTTTTTTCAGTGTTTGGAATGCAAAATATATTTGTATTTTATGCTAGGTTAATGGGGACCTAAGCAAGCAGTAGTAATTTCTAACAAAATCTTATACAGGAAAAAGGAAAATATTGTTAATATTGCTGTTCCTCACAGATAGAAAGGATACAAACTACCTGTCTTATTACTGGAAAGAATGCTTTCACAGGGTATTATATTTGTGCTTTATTGAATCCACAAGAGGGAGCACAGGTTAAACTCTTCCTAATATCTGTTTCTCTTTGATGTTAAGGGAAGCTATTTCTTGGGGAGTGGGATGCATTGCAGGTGATGGCTAACACATATCGAGAATTCAAAAAGATAGAAGAATTAAATTGTATTGGTCTCAAAGGTGCCACTGGACTCAGACTCTGTTCTGAATTAAGAGGGAACTATAAGAACCTTGTTTGGAAACTGACACTCGATTTAGTTGCAGGATTTGTCATGAGTTTTTAAAACTATTATTGGGATTTAATGTGATTTTTTTCAAGGTGTCCCAATTTACTGACATGTTAATAAAATTTCATTTTCCTAGCATCAAGATGACGTTTGGCACTACAACTCCTTCCAGTATTGGAGGCCTCCATTGCCTGCCATTGATTTGTCTGATATTCTTGATCTAGAAAAAGAGAACATGGTCAAAACAAGAAACTCTAGCGGGGCTGGCCTTTCAGAAATGGAAACGTGAAAAATGACCCATTGGTAAATGTATTTTGCAGAAGCTGGTTTCTGTTTAGGTTCTGTTATTACTTGAGAAAGTAAGCAGATATGATGTTTCTGGTGAAGAAAAGTATGTTTTGGAGAAGAAACAACAGACTTCATCAGTAAGCCAATGGCATACAGAAAGAAGAGAGAGAAGACAGCGCTCAGAGGACTGTGGGAACGTTTGAAAACAGATACGTAGTGAGAAAGAGACTTGACTTTGTAGATTGAAAAATGAACAGCACAGATGCAGATTGGTCTGTTAACATATGGCTGAAGTATATAAATGAAATTTTGAATCTTTTTTTATTGTTAGATCAGCATAACCAAAAATAAAAATAAGCACTTCTATGCAAACTGAAATTTAGACGGGCAGTTATTTGCCTGCAAGAATTACCACTGTATAACTTTTGGTTTATTATTGTTTGAGGAACCATCAACTATGCTTCTTTCTCTTTTTTCTCTTCGTTTTATAGAAGTGATCAATAGCTGTTTATGTTTTGTTCCTTAGACTATTATGGGTAAAGAAAGTGAATTATTCAGTGTAATGTGAAATTATGGGCAGTCTTTGTAGGATCCAGTCCAGATGGTGTTCTAGTTCTGCATAGTTTAAAGCTTTGTTTCTTAGTGTAATTACTCTGTGGCATTTGATTGACTGTGCTAGCAGTGATAATTAGAAGGGCTGCTGTAAACCAGCATGGGCCTTCAGACAAAGATTTTCTCTACTCCCCTCCCACTACCCAGGCCCAGCCCAGACATAAAGTAGTTCTCTAGGGTTTCTTGGGGCCCTGGACTTTTATTAATCTAGTTCCCCCTTTCTCAGTGGTTCTGATAGTCTGAAACAGAGTTTATGGGTACATGTGAACATTAGGGCTTTCAAATGTCAATTTTTAAGTTGTAAACATTTCTTTGTTAATACATTGTAACTTTGTTGGAATATCTGATAAAATCTTTTCACTGAATTGAAATCTTCATTAGATCTTTGTCAATCAAGTTGTGAATTTGTACTGATTACCCTTTATTTTGATAACATTTTTTATGTGCTCTCTGGATACTGTGCTAGTAAACATTTTTGAAAAATCTTTTTATAATGTTTTGTGTGTGAAGTTTTAATCATGCGTGAAAATAGTTTCAGGTGGGTAACCTGGTCTGCAGTAGAAGAACTAGGTTTTGCAGTAGGAGAGCTAGATTCAAGACCAGTAGTGTCTGGTTCAAGCCCAACAAGTTTTTCAGGATCTAAGCTTTCCTTGGGGCAGCTTTGACTCTCGAAAGCTTATACCCTGAAAATCTTGTTGGTCTTTAAGCTGCTACTGGATTCGAATCATGCATGAGTTAACGTACCTTATATGAGCCAGTTTGATGTAGTGGTTAAGTGTGCGGACTTTAATCTGGGAGAATTGGGTTTGATTCCCCACTCCTCCACTTGCACCTGGCTGGATGACCTTGGGCAAGCCATAGTTCTTTTTTTTCCCCTTCAAAACATTTTATTAGGATATAATAACAGATTAAACACGGTTTCAAATTGTCATGCATCCTTTTCTCCTATTGCCCACCCCTTTCTTGGCTTTCCACAGTGCTCTAACCTCCAGCCCATATCTTAAATTTACTCCAAATCTCCCTATACCTTTATCACAATCTACCGGTAACATATCATTTTACTATTATTCATATACATTAATCTTTTTTCTATTGTCATCTACCTTCAATAATTATCAAAGCAAATTAAATTGTTCTTAACATCCCAATATTTCTCTAAATATTCTTTCAAGTCTTTCCAATCTTTAAAGAACTCTTCCGTGTCCAAATTATTAAGCTTCCTTGTTATTTTATCCATTTCTACCATAAAGAGCAGTTTCTTTATCCATTCTTCTATTTCAGGAATTCTATCCTGCTTCCAGCATTGTGCATAAGTCATTCTGGCAGTTGTAATCATGTACCACATCAATGTCCTTTTTGCCATATTGACTTCCTCCATTTTAAGTCCTAAAAGTAATATTTCTGGTTCTGATAAGAGCTGTTCTTGAAAAAAGAGCAGTTTCTGTCAAGAGCTCTCTCATCCCCACCTACCTCACAGGGTGTCTGTTGTGGGGAGGGGGAGGGAAAGGAGTTTGTAAGCCACTCTGAGACACCTTTGGGTAGTGAAGGGTGGGGTATAAATCCAATCTCCTCTTCTTCTTTGGCAGAGAAATGTTGAATTGCTTTTACAGAGTATCTGTACAAACTTTATTTCCTTCATGTCCAAACATAACCCTGTGCATGCTGTATCTGAACAACTTGTATTAGAGAGGTTCACTGAGGATATGTACACGAACAGCAATAAGATGTTGCACACTGGGTTTTTTACTGCTTCATGTCAGCCGAGTGTACTGGCTTTTTTTTTAATGAAGTACCCTGCATGAGGGGGGGAAATGCCTTCCCCCTTCACTATTTATGAGGAAAAACATGTCTGAGTCTGTTTGACTGGTCTAAACAAGAAGCCCTTTGCTAGTATTTGCCTTAAATGTCCATTGAATGGAAAGTAGCAAGAGCCATAGGAGGGAATGGTAAGGTATACATATGATATGTGCTATAGTCAAACATGATTAAAACATGTTATGACCAGCATGACAACCATATTTTCTGTTCCAAGTGCTTAGGAAGGGATGAGGAATTATATTTTTGAGGTTTTGAGTCAGAAAAAATGTAGTGCATGTATCACAGTTTAGTCATGAAAAAAACCCCACTTAATTTGTCTGGGCTCCTTGGGTATTCTTTCAAAGTGACTGAACAAGTTCTACATGAACAATAAAATAGTTTCAAGAACATCTTTGCGTGTGTAAAGTGCTGTCAGGTGACAGCAGACTTATGGCGAGCCCAGCAAGGGGCTTTCAAGGCAAGTGAAAAATAGAGGTGGTTTGCCATTGCCTTCCTCTGCAGAGTCTTTCTTGGTGGTCTCTCTTCCAAGTACTGACCCTGGTTAGCTTCTGAAATCTGATGAGATCAGGCTATTCCATGCTACCTCCCCCCCCCCCAAAGAACATCTTTGGGACAAGATTCCGAACATGCTTTTTGAGGCATATAGTAACATACACTTGTCATATAAAGGACTATTTATATTATCTAGGAACTCATGTAGCACAAACTGCCTTACTTGGAATCCAGCACTGGATTCCAGGAGGTAGTACAGATGTACAATACATTTGAAAATTTTAAATTGTTTTCACTGGAAAGCATTTGTCCTCCTGAACGAAGCGGCTACTGAAACTTCAAACGAGACATTATGAATGTTAATCATTTCCCTAATGTGGTATATAAACTTGAAACCAGATCAAGTCACATGTTCCTGATTACAAGGTGATAGTGTCTTCAGTTTAATTACAGAACAAATATTTCACTAGAGTTTTCAGAGTCCATCTCTTTTTCCCCTCCCTTTAAAGCTCATAAATGTAAGCACATGGACATTTGTAATCATTGCTTTTCAGCATTGTTTCCATTACTTGCTAGTGCTAAGCAAACATCTGATTGGGAGGTAGCTGGAAACTTCAGTCTGAAATCCTCTGAAAGCTACAAAATTTATATTTTAGCCATGGGGATGAAGAAGGTAAGTGGATGGACTTTTCTGCTAATTGCAGTGTTTAATTGCTTGTCACTGATATTTGAAATATATAAAATATGTAAGAGTCACTGGCTACAGTTCAGAATGTGTGCTTTATGTTTCTTACAGAAGTGCATTTCAAACAGTCTTTTTTTAGTATGCTATTTATAGAGCACTGAGAAAGTAAAGTTTGAAAACAAATCTTTGTGTTAACAGCCCTAATTGTAGCTTTGTTTTCAGTTTGGTAAGTCACTCTACAAAACATTGTCAAAATAGCTTTAGATTAATAGCATCATTTGAACAAGTGAAGGGAGGGTCTCTGATCCTAAGCATAATTCCATTAACATAAATCCATTTTGTGAGGTTTTATTATGGCTATGGATGCTTCCCAGAGTATAGGATTCTCAAGATCTGGGATTGACACATACAGAGACTTGCATTCTAATTATGAAAACTTAGGCAAATTAATTAAGAAATTACTCTTCATTTGTGCCTCTGCTAGATCTATGGTGGCTGAAAAAATAGCATGTACTACTTTGAAATTTGTTGTCTGAACAACAGTTATCCTTTTGTCCTAAGTTTGAGTCTGATGGCACCTTTAAAACCAACAAAGTTTTATTCAAAATATAAACTTTCGTGTGCACACACACACTTCTTCAGATACAATTAAATGGAATCCATATAGGTAGAGGGTAAGCAGCAAATTAGCATACAGCATAATAAAGGTGTTTAACAGATGCAAGGACCAAACTGGAATAACAAGCTTAGTTTATATGGTCACCATTTGTTTGGGTTTAATTCCGGGGGGAAACATAGTGAAGGAAATAAATATATCAAAATTGGAGATTGATGGTCAGATGTACCTTTCTTAATGGTGGAATGCTGAGAGTAATTAACAGAGACCCTGCTATCATGCTCTATCTGTCTTCTCTCAAATGTGGAGGCAACGGTACAGCATCATCTTTGGGGTGGTGTGATTGGCTATGTAGTATATCCTCTGTCCCTAGACCAGAGAAATACATTCCAATCCACCATTCCAAATTACATTACATTCTACTATTCATTATTTTGACCTAGTAAGAGAATGTAAGAGGATAGTCCTTTTGTATTCAAGAAGTATGGAAAAACTGCAGCTGATGCACTCAAGAAGAATTCTGTTAATTAATTGCCCTTGTGTGATGGCAAAGACAAAATATCTTCTGCCAGCTATCTGGCTTAACTCTGCACATATACAGTTTATTTTTATCTGTGATGCTTCATCTGCACTTGGAAATAATCACTTGTATGCCTCAAATGACGGACATACCTGCGTGAACTATGTCTGCAATTTTTATGTGGTTACATTTTCTGCTAGATCATTGATCCAGTCACTGTTTGAACATTTTTAGTTACTTAGTTTGGTTGACAAAAAAAAAGATCAGTGATTTGATGGTGTACATTTCTATGGGTTAGATCCAGAGGTGGTATTCTGCCACAGTAAGAGCACTGGTGTTTGTGAAATGGCATCTTGAGAGGGTGTTATTTTTTTTTTGTCAGTTCCCCAATCCTACTGCAGACCCTCACTGCCCTTTATGTTGTTCCTGAAAGGGAGAATTGGGAAAGGTCCTTTCTACAAACTTTCCTTCACTCACAGTCCATTGGGTCCAGTCCTGTATTAGCTTTTCCTAAGAGACATTGCAAACAGAGATTTGCTGCTGACATAGTACCAGACGCTATCCTCCCCCAGTAGGGTTGGTTTTGTTTTTATTAACCCAAAGTACCATTGGGAAGTGTTTGAGTGGAAGGAACTTATGGTGGAAGTGGTTTATTTTAGCTCAGAATATTTTTGTTCATCTTGTTTCCTGCATGAAGCACTCAAAGAAGCATCCAAGATTTAAAAACATACAGTTTTTTTAAAAAAAATTACCAAAGCCAGCTCTGCCAGCTCTGTAATTTATCTCTACTATTCTAGCAGGGGAAAAGGTATGAGAACTTGTATCATTTCTCCAGAACCAGAAGTGTTGAAAAAGCAGAGGCGAGGGGAAAATATTTGGTGGGGGTGATAGAGACACAAGGAAATGCACCTTTGTGTATTCAAAGACACTGTGACCTTCGCTTTGAGTGGTTACTAATGCTTTCTGTAGAGGCACTATAAGCACTGTGAGAAAGTCAAGCAGAAAAGGGCAACCAAGAAGAGTTGACGCACCCTGCCACTGAGGAAAGGCTAAGCATTCTGGGGCTTTTCAGTTTGGGGGGTGGGGAAGCTAAGTGACTTAAGGGGGAACACGATATAGTTTTATAAAACTGCATGGGCTTAAGAAAGTAGATACAGAGAACTTTGTCTCCCTCTCCTGTAATACTAGAACTTGGGGGCTGCCAGTGAAGCTGAGGACAATAGATTCAGGGTGGAGAAAAGGAAATATTTACTGAGAGTAAATTGTGGAATTCACTGCCTTCCATTATTCATTCGTTAACCTAAGAATAATGAGAAATTGTAAGGCATCTTGCACGAGGTGGAAAAGCACCCACTGTGGTTATGGTAGTTCTTTCTGCTACGGAAAGTTGAGCTGTCTATCCGCCCACATACCTATTGCTTAAGTATTGTGTAAAAAACTTATTATGTAACTGGCAGAATTCTCTGAGGAGGCGCCTAAGCCATAAAGAAGTTGCCATTTACTGATTGAGGGAAGTGGAACATTAACCATCCATCTGGTATGTGTGGTCCAAGGATCAAGCAAGGTGCTTCTTTCCTTTCTTTCCTCCTTCCTATGCTGTGATTCCTGCAAGTGTTTCAGAGACTAGCAAAAAAGGAAGAGTACAAGAGAAGGAAGAGTACAAAACTATTGGCTTGCAAGCAGAGCTTTAACCAAGAAGGAAGAGAAATACGCAGCACTACAAGATGAAAGTTCAAGTGAAGGTAAAAAGTTGTAGGCAAGGCTGTGTGGTTCACTGAGCTGGTGCTGGAACTCCTAGCATGTTCCTGTAATGTATTCTGCCACTGATCACTCCAGACATTAAAAAAAAAAAGCATTTTAAGAAATTTGCAGGATCTTTGCTTCATTGCAGCTTCTAATTTAGCTCCTTGCAAGATTTATCACTTTGTACATTGGCCAAAGCCGAAAGGAAGTGACGAGTGTAGAAACTATAGCATAAACCTGGCTATGATTGTTGTTTGGTGAAGGTGGGGCATACGTTGGTTTGTTTCTGGTTCTGTGGTTTCAGTCATTCAAAAGGTGATTACTTGTAGGTTGCAGTGTTTGTCCAAGATTATAAAGGGAAATGGATGACACCATGTATGACTTGGTCTATTAAAGTGGACAGTTAAAGACTGCAGTGTTCTAGAGTTGCAAAATGCAGTGGTTTATTCTCTGTTAATAGGGAAGGAACAATTCTTTAAAAGAGACTTCCTGGCTCCACTCTTTTCAGCAATTAATTTCCACAAGCTTTTTTTTGTAGGATTCCTTTGATTTTAGCATCCACATTAATTTAGCAAGTAAAGTTTTTGCCACTACTGTGTCCCCAAACAGGGAAATCTCACTGCTTAAAAAAAAAGTATGCATAATGCACAAGAGCCGTGTCCAAAAATAGTTGTTAACCTTACTTGAAAGGAACATTGTCAGGCTGCAAATATTGCCTGTACCTTAAAATTCAGAGGCAAGAAGAGATTGTGCATGCCTGAGTCCTCTTTTCCACTTTTTCCTGCTATAGCAAGGAGGACTCCAGCTGTATTCACATGGTAGATAGTCTTACATGATATTCCCTTATCATTTTGGTGGATAGTTTTACATGATATTCCCTTATCATTTTGGGGTTCAGGTTATTTTCCAATTAGCAGAAGTGCTTGTAGAATTGTATTATTTTTCATTACCTCTAGAACACTCTAGAACACCTGTCTATGAGTTGGATCAATTGCCTCCACCGATCAGTGGGTCTGTGGGTGAGACTTGACTTTAAAGTCAAACATTCACGTCAGAAAGGATATTACAGCATTGGAAAAAGTGCAGAAAAGAGCAACTAGAATGATAAAAGCGTTGGAACACTTTCCCTATGAAGAAAGGTTAAAGCAGTTGGGGCTCTTTAGCTTGGAGAAAAGACGGCTATGGAGTGAAATGATCGAGGTTTATAAGATTATGCATGGGATAGAGTAGGTAGAGAAAGAAATACTTTTCTCCCTTTCTCACAATACAAGAACTCATGGGCACTCAATGAAATTGCTGAGCAGTCAGGTTAGAACAGAAAAGGAAGTACTTCTTCACCCAAAGAGTGATTAACACATGGAATTCACTGCCACTGGAGGTGGTGGCATCTACAAGCATGGATGGCTTCAAGAGGGAATTGGATAAGCATATGGAGCAGAAGTCTATCAGTGGCTGTTAGCCACGAGGTACAGATAGGAAGTCTCAGTCTGGGGCAAGTGATGCTCTGTATTCTTGGTGCTTGGGGGGGGTAACAGTGGGAGGGCTTCTAGTGTCCTGGCCCCACTGATGGCACCTGGTATTTTTGGCCACTGTGTGATGGAGTGTTGGGCTGGATGGGCCATTGGCCTGATCCAGCATTGGCTTCTCTTATGTTCTTATGTTTTCCTATTCTCTCCAGTGGGCCATTCTTGGTCTCATTTGAGTTATTACCAGTCCATAATGTTCATTTAAATGAATTGGTACTGAGATTCTCTTAACTGTCTCTGCACATAGAAAACAATGTGTCAACAGGACACATTGTTGTTGTAACCAAGCCTTGTCACTATCATGCTATTTATCTGTGGATTTTTAACATGGAAGAACATGGAATCATGTAAGCCCCTTCATGCAATGCAAAGTGATGCAGTCCAGATACAGGTATGTTGTTTTGTGAGAACCATGCTTAAATTACTATGGGGAAGCAGCTTGAAAGTACCTTATTTGCTGGTTCTGTGTCTATAGCTTGTTATTTTGTGGAGCAGGCAACCACCAGATGCATAGTAGGCAACTAGCACACCTCATTATAAATCTTCCTACCAATATTATTTGGGAAACAACCTGATATGCTTGATCAAAAAGTGTGGATGCAGACAGTGAAGACTGAAATATAGGGATGCCCGGTTCACAAAACATGAACTGTCAAACTTTTAGCAGCCAAATGAACCAGTGCATTTTGTGAAGTTTGTGATGTGGTAGAATGTGCCCCCCCCCAGCATGCTAGAGACACCAAACTCACTGACTCTCCTCTGCCAGCCCTCCCAAGTTTGTGAGGACTGGATTTACAGGGTCTGAGTTATGACCTCCCAAAGAAGGTGCCCCAAGGAAAGTGCTTTCTGGAGAAATGACAGGCACAGGTTCAGGAGTGTATAGAAATGTTCCTGTGCAAGCTAGGCACATCAAATTTGCAGGGGACCTCCCCAGAATGCTCCTCTACATACCCTTCAAGTTCTACCCCCCTGTTGCTTTGAAGTTTGGTAAACTTTTAGATTGATTGGAGATAGTCTGTATCTGTTCACGAACCACCACAAACAGTTTGGAAGTTCATGAAGTTTGTGCCACCTGACCTACTATGAATGCCACTTTGTGAACCACAAACCAGCCAAAATTCATCACAAACTTTAGTTCATGAGCTGATTTGTGCCCATCCCAAGTGAAATATTCCAAAGGTATCAAGGTGCCCAACATGGAGCTTGTTCAATTGAGCTGAAATGCTCCTGAGTGTAATGCGGTTCAAGGGGAAGATTTCCCTCTACCACTTTTCCCTTGAGTAGTGTACCGTAGTGTTTGTGTACCTGGGAAAGAGGTTGATATTTTAGAGGCAGTGGTTTAAGCAATGTTATAACAAATAGACAAATAGTTCATATTACCACATGGAATGATGCTGGATAGTGTAGAGCTAGGGTGGAACATGATACCTTTTAAAAATCATTTGATATTGTCAGTGCAGGAGACTTTGGCATGCGAGGACATTGCTCTGAATGGTTTCATTTCATATTTTCCGTATGCTATCAAAACTAGGGGGTGGCCAAAGTGGGGATTAACCTGTCTTGTACAAGTCAGGAAATATGTTAAAGTGGAAAATGTTGTGTATTGGGAGCTTCAAGTGAACGCACATTGTTCAAGAGGCTCCTTGCAGCTACATTCGGATTGGCCATCCTTGCTGAGCCGGCGAGTCAGGTAACATCAGCTTGAAGGATGCCCATTCAAATAAGTGCCTATGTACCTATTGGTTTATTTGTATTTTGTGGATGTGTTTTGGAACTGGGGTTTCTGTATATAGTTGTGGCTCGCCACGTGTGTGGTGGTGTTGTGTTACTGAATAGATATAACTAAGTGCTATATTCAAATAGAACATGTAGAGGCTCACATGATAAAATCAAAACAATTGAACATACACTTATGGAATGTCCTATAATGAGCTGCGGACTAGTTTGATTACTCCTTTACTTGGAAATAAGAAAATGCCCACTGAGGTATTCGACAGTATGAGGGCACAGGTGATATAGTTACTATTGGATGTAAAGGATTTTGTTATTCTCTCTGTAGCAAAATTCATGGGGGCAATAATTAAACAACAAAAGAATAACACTAGGTAAAGCATTGTTTTATAATTTTATTTTCTGCTCAAGGCTATCACTATAGAAACAGTACTAGATAGATAGAACATGATAATTATGATAATGTTTTTAGTTAGAAACATCATTGCCATCATCATCAGAGCCGGTGCTGTTCTGTATATTGTGCAAATATAAGAGTTATAAATGTTAGCAATGGTTTGCTAACCCTTTCTTGGGAAATTCCCGGAGATTTGGAGGTGGAGCCTGGAGAAGGTGGGTTTTTGGGGACAGGAAGACCTTTAGCGGGATTTAATGCCACAGAGTCCACCCTCCAAAGCAAACATTTTCTTCAGGGGAACTGATCTCTGTACTCCGGAGCTCTGTTGTTAACACGAGGAGATCTCCAGTTGCCACTTCGAGGTTGGCCATCCTAATAACAAATGAGGGCCTGCATGGACTTGGGGGAGGGGAATTCTATTACCTCCTCATTATCATCCTCCCCATAGTGGTGGCGGCTGCAAGCATGGACGGCTTCAAAAGGGAATTAGATAAGCATATGGAGCAGAGGTCCATCAGTGGCTATTGTTGTTCAGTTGCACAGTCGAGTCCGACTCTTCGCGACCCCATGGACCAGCTCCGCCAGGCCCTCCTGTCTTCCGCCGTCCTCTGACGTTTGCTCAACTTCATGTTCGTTGCATCTATGACACTGTCTAACCATCTCATCCTTTGCCGTCCCCGTCTTCTTTGACCTTCAATCTTTCCCAGCATCAGGGTCTTCTCCAGTGAGTGCTCCCTTCTCATTTGGTGGCCAAAGTATTTAAGCTTCAGTTTCATTATCTGGTCTTCCAGGGAACAGTCAGGGTTGATTTCTTTTAGGATTGACTGATTTGATCTTTTTGCAGTCCATGGACAGTGGCTATTAGCCACAAGGTATAGATAGGGGCTCTGGGGCAAGTGATGCTCTGTCTTCTTGGTGCTTGAGGGAGGGGTGTGTGTCAACAGTGGGAGGGCTTCTAGCATCCTGGCCCCACTGGTGGACCTCCTGATGGCACCTGGTATTTTTGGCCACTGTGTGACAGAGTGTTGGACTGGATGGGCCTTTGGCCTGAGCCAACATTGGCGTCTCTTATGTTCTTATGTTATGTTCCCATTTGCTCTGTCTCCCTTACTAGCCCCTGCCTTTTCTTCCTGTCTTCTCCTGGCTTTCCCCCCCCCCCCCCCCGGCACCCTCTTCCCTAGTCCTTCTGCAGCCCTTGCATTCTCTTCCTGCACTTCCTGTTTTCTCTACCCTGCCTTTCTCTTCGTCCAGGCTCAGACCCTGCTAGCCACCTGCTTAGGGCCACTGAATATCAGGTGCCATTTTGACATTGCTTTTTTTCCATTTGCAGCCACCCCCTTTTCTGTTTGGAGCTCATTGAGCAAAGAAGGGGGGGGGGTCCACATTGTATGATTTTAAAAAAAATTATCCATGCGGTTAGGTTATCATGGGAATGAGATATACCATGTTATGTCATCTCAAATGGAGGCAAATCTGGCCAGATCAGCATTTTCTTCCTTATCTTAGTTAATTCATCTGCTCTTGGAAAGCTTGAAAGTTTTCCCCCCCTGTCTTCAGGCACAGGTCATAGAAAGAGAATTCTAAACTCCAGAGGTCAAGAGGGTGTGAACTATTCTAAAGCATTCTAGACAAAAGGAACTTTTATAGCTTGATACAGGAAAAGAGACACAACACAAGGCTGAATTCTTAACACAGCTTTTATACTTCCATCCTTTCAGTCCCAGCTCTACTTTCTTCCCCGTTTTTATTTTCTCCTCCTGCTCTGCTTTTTTCCTTTCTGTCTGTAGTGGTTTAGTCAGCCAAGGAACAGACTACAGTCTTCCTAATGGAACAAGCTTCTAAACCTCATCAACAAAATAAACTACATCTATTACAACACAACAGAAACAGACTGGTCTTGTTCACAATACTGTCATTTCTTCATTAAGGTATAAGCATTATAAGACAGGGAGTTTTTTGGGTTTTTTTTCTAACGAACAGATACCATAAATAGTTATTTATTGCTTATCACTTTTTTGAGATGTGGTATTTCTGTTCAGTCCCAGAAATCTTGGATTGAAGGCATCTTCTGTAAAAGAGAGTGTGCAAAGATCATACCGAGTTCCAGAGATCCACACAGGTACTAGATTTCTTTTTGGTTGAACTGTACAAGGAATATATGTAGCAGTACCATAAAGGACTTTGCAGTCATATTTTAATGATCAGAGTATTTATTTGTATTCCATAGCAGTGAACTCTGGTAAGTACAGGGACTGTGACTACTAGGGTTGCCAGGTCCTGCCTAACCACCAGCCAAGATAAGAGGGTACAGTTATCCAGATTGATAAACTCCTGGAGATTTGGGGATGGAGCCCGGGGAGGGCAAGGACCTCAGTGGGATACAATACCACAAGATTCCACCAAAGCATCCATTTTCTCCAGGGGAACTAATCTCTGTAGTCTGGAGATTAGCTGTAATTCTGGGGGATCCCCAGGTCCCACCTGGAGGTTGGCATCCCTAGAACTATTGAAAATGCAAACAATTTATTTAATTTGGAGCATATTGTTTCAATTTCCCCCCTTTCTCTAAGGGAAGTGGGCATTTACATAAGAACATGGCAAACAATATATTATCATGGTGAAACTAATAATCCAAGAATATTACACTTCTACAATTGGGGACCCACAATACTCATGGGGGGGATCCCTCCCCTCATCACTGCCAATTCCCTCTTAGGGCTCAGTGGAGGAGCCGGGAGACTGGGGGGGGCGATCCCATATGCCCCCCCATTTCTGAGGCTGGTGAGGCTCCAGGACCCATCACCTAACACTCAGCATGCAGTGGCTGCCAGTGTCCTTCACCACCGCACCTGGGGCCACAGCAGTGGCTGGCCTCTGCTGCTGCTGCGCTCAGGCCCACAGTGGTGTCTGGTGTCCTTTGCTTCCACTTGAGACTGTAATGGCTGCTGACGTCCGGAGCTGCAGCCTTCTCTGCTGCAGCTGGGCCTGCAGAGGCTGCCAGTGACAGCAGCTGGCAACCACTGCAGCCACAGCAAAGAAGTATGTCAGCTGCTGCTCCAGACTGTTCCAGACCCCAGCTGCATCATCTGCTTCTGCATCCAGGGCCACTGTGGTTGCCGGTATCCGACACCACTGGGCCTGGAGCAGGTGCCAGTGTTAGCGTGGAGCTGGAGTGGCTCCCTAACTGCGTTGTTCTGTGCATGCAGAGACAACAGAAGCTTGATCTTAAATTGTTTTATGCAGTGTTTTATTGAATTGTGTTGTACACCACCCTGAGCTCGGCCCTACTGGGAGGGCAGTTAATAAATTCAATTAATAAATAATAAATATTATTTGGTGGGATTTAAATCCTACTTTATTTCCCCCCCCAGATTTTTCTGCAAACCATAGGCGTTCCCCAGGTTTGAAGATAGATCTGTCTAGTGTCCATGTGGCTCTGATCCGTGGATTTAGCTGTCTACAGTATAGTACATAGATAATGACCATCCATTGAGACCCAATACTTATTTGTGTAAATATTATAGTCACTATTGGCACTGGGAAAACTGGGGTATTTTAATATTTAAATGAATAAAAATACTGAGAGGGAAACTTTCTTTTCCAAAAAATAGTACAGAAGATTGCAGAATGCCCAGTAGTTTTTATAGGACCAGGACTCCTCTGAAATAAATAAATAAATATTGGATGGATCTTTGTATTGATTCTGTTGTAAGATGTCAGTTGGAAGACTGCTGTTAGGGGTAAGTCCCACCCCCACCAGTTTCTAAGGGCTGGCAACCTTCAAGCAAGTGAGTCTAAGTCTTGCAGAAATCAGTTGGGCTAAATTAATGCAAATGTAAATGTGTGATAACACTGTGGATGATTTCCCACAAGCACTGCTCCACGCTCACTCTTCTCTTTGCTCTGATGGTTCGTGTCAATTTCACACAAGCTGCTGTGCGGCCGCATTTTGCCCCGCAGCTTTGAACGATTTTCCCCATGTCTACTCAATCCTGTTTTTTGAGGATTGAGAAGACACGGCGGAAATCGCATGAAGCTGCGGGGCAAAATGCAGCTGCACAGCAGCTTGTGTGAAATTTACACGTACCATCGGGGCAAAAGGGAGGAATGAGTGCGGAGCAGCACTTGTGGGAAATCACCCTATGATATTATGGGATATTTGGGTAATTTCATAAAATGTCATACAGGCATGTGTACATGTAGCAGCAGTGTCATTTATTAATTGTAGCAAATATATTTAGAGAGTAGAATCTAGAGATTTTGACTGATTTTCTGGCCTTTAATACTGTTGTTTTGGATGACTGGCTTTAGGACAGATGTTTACTGGTTTATTTTATTTATTTACTATATTTATAGTCCACCTTTCTCACTGAGACTCAAAGCAAATTACACAGTGTAAATTCATAAAGTCAATATAATGAGACATCTAACAAGCAACATACTAGGACTAGGGCTGATTTCGCACTAGAGCTGCCTCGCTGTTGCGCTGCCGTTTGCCCCGGTTCTATTGGTCAATTTCACACCCGAAGCCGCGTGGCTGATTTTGACCCGCGGCTTCGCCCGATTTCCTCTGCAGTTTTATTGATCCTCAAAAAACAGGATCACAAAACTGCGGGGGAAATCGAGCGAAGCCGCGGGTCAAAATCAGCCGCGCAGTTTCAGGTGTGAAATTGACCAATAGAACTGCGGCAAATGTCGGCGCAATAGTGAGGCAGCTCTAGTGCGAAATCAGCCTAGGATTACAGACATATGAATAAGTATAGCATATTAGACATGTTACAGAGTGCAGCTACAATGCAGAAAAATGGTTGTACATCAGTAGAAAATGAAACAGTGGCAGCAGGATAACGTGCAGCAAACATCCTACACACAGTGGTACAGTCCATAGTCCCTTTCCCTTTAGAAAGTGCATTCCTGAACCATTATTATATAGCCCTGTTACCTTTACAAAAAAGCACTTCTGAACAAGGAGCCATTGAAAGAGAAGTGTGATCCAATCTTTATTACTGAATTAGTGGTAGACTAAAATGCTCAAAACTATTCCAGTTGATTGACAGAGGTTAAACAATATATAATTGTGCAGCAGATTGCTTAATGGCTTGGACTGCTTAATGGCTGCCTTGTCATGCAGGAAGGTGCTGCACAGAATTAAGAGAAAAAAACCCCAAAACTAATTTAGTAGCTGGGGCAGCATGTGTCGTGTTCCATGGACTAGAACTACACATGTGCATGGGTGGGCTATCAGCTATTTGCAGGACTATAGGCTATACCTTTCTATTCCCTTTTCCAAAAAGGTGGTGTGTACTCTCAAAGCTAACACTGCCAACCATCTTTTCAGTGCGTATGCAACCCACTACTGTAAATGAAGATCTCTGGATGAGGACCCAAACTGTGCAGCAATGTATCTACAGTCACAGATATCATTGCTAAGGTGTATATAAAATATTTTATTAATGGAGTCATTGTAGAAAACACTGGCATATTTAAGTAATGCTTTTTTCCCTTCTCACTCAGATGTTCCACTGGATGCCAAATCTGCCAAAACTTAATCCGGTAAGGCTGCACAGTTTCAGGTTGTATTTGCAATTATATAAGCATCACTTATTAGTAAATCCATTGTGTATATTAGTATATTAGTAAAGCCATTGCAAGGCGAGCCCCCAACGTGGGGATTAGGGGGCTTGCCTTACAATGGCTTGCTTCCTTTCTCCAGGGTCGGGGACAACGGGTGGCGCTAGGGGAACAGCAGTCCAGGAGGCACCCACTTGAATGTGGTGTGCCTCAGGGGGCTGTGCTGTCCCCGATGTTATTTAACATCTATATGCGCCCCCTTGCCCAGATCACCCGGAGGTATGGACTGGGATGTCACCAGTATGCTGATGACACCCAGCTCTATCTGATGGTAGGCGGCCAATCGGACTCCAGACCAGAAGACCTGGATCGAGCTCTGCAGGGTGGCTCAGACTGAGTCGGCTGAAGCTGAATCCAGCGAAGACGGAGGTCCTGTGCCTGAGTCGGAGCGGTTCGGGGGTGGGGATCCCACTCCCGACCTTTGGGGGGGGCTTCATTGGTCCCAGCGCCAGAGGTTCAGAGTTTGGGAGTGCTCCTGGATCCCTCCCTTACCATGGAGGCCCAGGTAGCGGCCACTGCCAAGTCGGCCTTTTATCATCTTAGGCTGATTAGGCAGTTGGTTCCCTTCCTCGACCGTGCTGACCTGGCTACAGTGATCCACGCGATAGTTACCTCGAGACTAAACTACTGTAACACTCTCTACATGGGGCTGCCTTTGTTGCAGATTCGGAAGCTGCAGCTAGTGCAGAACGCTGTGGCCAGGCTGTTGATGGGTCTTCCTAGATGGGAGCACATCCAGCCTGTGCTAAGGACACTGCACTGGCTGCCAATAGCATACCGAGTCTGCTTCAAGGTGCTGGTTCTTACCTTTAAAGCCTTATATGGCCGGGGTCCAACATACCTGTGGGACCACCTTTCTCTGTACATACCCCAGAGAGCACTACAGTCTGGGTTTCAAAATCGCTTGACCCTCCCTGGCCCAAGGGAGGCCAGGCTAGCTGCTACTAGGGCCGGGGCCTTTTCAGTGGCAGCCCCTACCTGGTGGAACAAGCTCCCGAAGGAGATCAGGGCCCTGTGGGACCTCTCACATTCCGCAGGGCCTGCAAGATGGAGCTCTTCCGCCAGGCATACAATTAGGGGCCGCCGTAACACACGGCCCGCAATGTCATCATCGAGCAGCTGCCATAAGAGTTGATGAGCAGAATAACATCTAAGCACTTCTATGCTGGAAGTTGGAAATCCATTTGAAAGCATTCCATCTGACTGAATTTTTAACTGCTGCTAGCACTTTGTAATGTATCACTTTGTAATGTATTATTTTAACTGTGATGTTTTAATTACGTATTATGTATGTTTTTATTTTGTATTTATGTTATTTGAAGCCGCCATGAGCCTGCTTTATGGGGAGGGTGGGATATAAATTTGACAATACATAAATAAATAAATAAATAAATTTCAGTAAGCTACTGACAGAGTTACTGTCCGGGATAACCCCAAGGGGTAGTGGGAACTCTCTCACGTATTTACTGTTATCGTTTTTGCACTCTCACCTTTCAATAGCACTATATTAAATGCCTGTGCTATAGCATGAACTTTTTAAATAGAAAACCTAAGAAAATTCATTCACTGACATTCATCCTCCACCCAACAGCAAGAAGAAGCCACTGCTGTTCTAGCCAGGCCAAACTGACCCTCCAGCTCAAGAGCAGGCAACTGTTTTGTTCTAAGTGCCCTAAACTCTACAACATCTGCTTATAAAGAAGGTGGGGTACTGGCAAACAAAAAGGGAGGTAGAGATGAAGGTTCTACTTGGCCACACACACAGGGAGTAAGCTGAGCTCCAACAATGCTGCCAGTATTTTAATGAAGCTTGTTTTGGTACATTGGGTGGAGAACAGGCCCTGGTTGCCACAAAGCAAAGTGATCTGGTGCGGGGAGGGGTGTGTGTGCCTATTTCTGTTACAGCTGCTTCAGTTTGGTCCGTTGCAGCTCTAGATGAGTGCATCCATGTGCAGAGTGTGTGGTGGTAAAGATAATAGTTTTTCAAGCAATGTCTCCCAGCAAGTTTGTGCCGGCACTGTCTTTCCTTGCAACGTGGTCTTGGACAGTAAAATAAAAGCTAGGTGTGGAGGACAGGACTACTATAATGTACATGAAGAGTCTGGCCCTGTCTCTGAGCATGATTAATGTATATTTTAAAATGTCCAGCAGTAGGTTAATTCCATAGATAGTTAAGTTAGGTCAACATAATCTTTGCTCCCCTATTAGATCCCTTTGCCATCTCAAACTTGTTTTTCTAGAGTCGCCCCTGTTTATTAGAAATCCTGTTATAGGCTATAAGTTGCATACCATATTCTAGGTACCTGAATGAGCACTTGGGATCTATAGTTAAATATGCGAAGATAGATAACATCTAATACAGGTATTTTCATAGTTGTCAGTTGGTCTGATCTGGGGTAGGCAACCTTTTTTGCCTTAGTGCAGAAAAGAAATGCAGTATATATCTCTGAAGATGATGTTGTACTAGCAAACAAAATTGGGTGAAGACAGAAGGGTTGTACCATGGCTGGTACACTGGGAGCAAGCAGAGATACAGCAGAATGGCCAGCCTCTCAGGGTATTCTCTTAGATCTGGCTGTGGTATGCAGGGACCCAGGAGGTGATGATGGCCTTGTGCAATACCCACTGCTTCTCCTATGCCACTGGCACGGAGTGCTGCCAGCACTTCTGAGACTCACCCATTTGGTTGGGTGAATTGGTCCTATGTACGGAGCAAAATGATCTGGCATGCTCTTGTTCTACTTGTGTGGCAGGGGTTGCCGACAACTGATCTAGCTTATATTTTAATTAATTTATTTATCTAATTAGATTTGTAGCCCGTCCTCCCCACAAACAGGTTCAGGGCGGGTTCCATCATGAAATTCACAATACAACAAATCGACAGTTAAAATATATCCAAAAACCTATCTAAAAGTAATATCCAACAAAAGAACACTGCCTCAACAGATTTCAACAAGAAGCAGCTTGTTCCCAGGTGGCCATTCGGATCTGAGGTCACTGGAGGGGAGGCCAATAGCAAGTGCTGCCTCAACTGAAAGCCTGGTGGAAGAGCTCTGTCTTGCAGGCCCTGCAGAACTGTAATAGGTCCCACGGGGCCCTGATTTCTAATGGGAGCTCATTCCCCCAGGTAGGGGCCAGGACTGAAAAAGCCCTGGCCCTCATTGAGGCAAGTCGGATGTCCCTGGGGCCAGGAACAACCGGGAGGTGTTGATTAAGAGATCATAAGTTCTTGAGGGGCTCATATGGTGAGTGGTGGTCCCGAAGGTATGCTGGCATAGAAAATTGTGACACATTGGTCTTAAATGGCAGAGACCTTGTTCAAACTCCCTGGCCAGCCATGGGATTCTCTCTGGGTGGCCATAGAGACTTACAGACTCTCAGCCTGACCTTTCTAGTGGAATGGTTGTAAGAGGTTGGAGCTTTCCTATATATAGGAAAAGTTCTTACCTATCTTTTCTTTGAACTCACACTGAGCCTGTCAGAAACATTTAGATTGTTGGTTTTATTTTTTTTTAAAGTGTACAGTTATTGATGTTTTTCAACAAGATATATAAACAAGAACAACTTTATGGTAAACTAGGAAAAAGGCCAGTTGTGGAAATAAATACAACAGCCTCTAGAAAGAGGCTCTGGGTGGGTGCCCCAGCCTTGGACACTCAGTGTCAATTTGCTGTGGCGACCTCAGCGGGGTAAAATGACACTGAGTCCACCATTTTCTCCAGGGGAACTGATCTCTGCTACCTAAACAACAGTTGTAATTTTGAGTGATCTCCAGTCCTCACCTGGAGATTGGCAAAGTTGGTAACCCTATCTCTTTCCCAGCCAATCATCAACCTACCTTTATTTCCCCCTCACTCTTCAGCTTTCTACCCCCCACACACCTGCAGCCTCTCCCGTGCTCTGAAGCCCTGACTGCTATGTCACATTGGCTGTCATACGGGGGCCACCTCAGCAGCATATAAGGATACAGAGCCCACCATTTTCTCCAGGGGAACTGATCTCTGCCATCTGGAAAGCAGTTGTAATTCTGAGTGATCTCCAGCCCTCACCTGGAGATTGGACACATTTTACCTCAGAACTTCAAACTGTTTAGAATGTTAGAGGCAAAAGCCAATCAAGTCGCATATGCAAACGACCTCTGTGTTCCGAGGGAGAGGCCAATGAGGCTGCATATGCAAATAACCTCTGTGTTCTGACTGGCTATGGGGGGGAGAGGAAAAGCAAAATGTTTAGAATGTTGGAGGCAGGACTCAGGCAAAGCAGCCAGTGGATAGGGAGACCCTTTGAATGACAGATCAGAGAGCGAACTGATTTTGGAGCGTGTGGAATGTTCTAGAGAAGTGCCACCACCATTCGGCTTTTATTTATAAGGGAGATGATGATAATGGGAGAGATGACAGGAAGTGTAGGGAGTGGGAATAAGTTTGTAGGGAATGAGACTTAATAGGTTAAGCAATATCAAAAAATTGGAACAAAATGCCTATAAGGGATCCACTTTGCAGTTCTTGATCCTTTCACCCAGTCAGCTGCATCTGACACTTCAGCTGGCATTCCTCAAAGCACGTAATATACTGCTACATACCCCACAGGACCCCAGCAACCCCTGTCCTCAGAGCCAAGATCCTATTTTATATTTAGTACAATCCATTCAACAAAGCCTTGCTTCTGCAGATTTCATTTTGTGCCTTTGTTTAATAATTTAATCAATTACTTCCTTTTCCTGTTTCCTCTGTAACTGGACGTAGCATTTACGAATCCGTTCCCCCCCCCCACAGTTGTACCTTATACTATTTCATCATCACTGATCGCTGTAGGTATGTTCCTATACTGAAACAGCAGTGGTATTGTCCAGGGATGGTGGCCCTAGCCCTGTACTCACCACTTCCAGAGGATATTCTGTTGGGATCCCAAGCATCGAGAAT